CCCCAAAACCCCAAAACCCCAAAACCCCAAAACCCCATAAGACTATTGTGTACTTACGATGAGATAATGATATAAAAATAAACCCCAGGGGAGATATTGAAAATCAACTAAGCATACTTAATAATCATAATATTTCCAATATTATTAAAATTTCAGATAAGCACTCAATGTAAAATACATTCGATTATGAAGTATCAGCTCATTTATAATAATATCTGCAAGAGTAGGGTTTGCTAGATAATCACTTGATCGGAGTGGGCAAATTTTCAAAAGTATTTAAAATAGAGGTAGGCGGTAAATTTTACGCCATGAAACAGTTGAAGCGAGAGGTAGGTTCATTCAGCCACCTCGATAATATTTTAAACGAAGTCATGATTCTCTCAAAGATACAACATCCAAATATAACGAAACTGATTGGAAAATACAGAAATAAGGAGTTCTACAACATTGTACTTGAATATTGCAATGGAGGAGATTTAAAAAATTATCTTAAATAAAATGGAGTCCTTCCAGAGATCACCGCCAGAAAGCTCATGAAACAACTTCTCAGATCACTTTAATATCTTCATGAGGAGAAACATATAGTTCACAGAGATGTCAAGTCTTAGAACATCATGCTTGAGATGAAGAATACAAATGGTTAGAGTTTAACTGAAAAAGAACTAGTTGCAGATCTAAGAATTCAGCATTCATAATAATAATTAAAGTTGAAAGTAAAATTATGTGATTTCGGATTCTCAAGGATACTTTAACCATTTGAATGCATGATTTAATCCTATGGAACACCAATATATATGGCTCCAGAAGTTATCACGAGTTAACCATACGATTTCAAGTCAGACATATGGTCTGCTGGAATAACTTTTTTCGAGATGCTATCAGGCTCATTTCCTTTCAATGGCAGTAATAAGAGTGAGATATATTCGAAGATCAAAACTGGTAAATATCAGTTTGATAAATCACTTAACATTAGCATGCTCTGTCTCGATTTTCTAAGTCATTGCCTGCAGTTCAATCCTGACAGGAGATTCTCTGCAAGTCAACTTCTTGATCATCCCTATCTCAGATATAGCTGGAAATAACTTCAATAAATGGCAAAGGTTGGCAATCAAAGTAAATCTAAAATACTTTCTGAAAGCTAATAGAAAACAATAATAAAAACATAAGATTCTTCTTGCATTAGTAACATTAAAAACAATGATTAACTAGAACTGCTCTAGGATCTAGGAGCTTTTGGACAGACTAAAATGCTTAGTTTTTAAAATCTGATTATCAAAGAATTAAATAGCAGAAATTTCGGTCATGATCAGATTAAAAATAGAGACAGAGACGACAAATATAAAACTTAGCTAGGGAATATCGATCAGTATGTATTAACAATGAAAAATATGAAGTAGCTTACAAATCCAGAGGATAAACAAAGCAACTTATCATTTGGACAAAGCCTCAATAAATAGAAAAGAGAAGTTAAAAGAAATCCTAGAGAATAATCTGAAAGGTCATCTAGATTTTAAAACTACAAGAATTTGAAAAACCCAATGAGTAAACTAAATATTGACATAATGTAATAGTCTGAAGTTAATGACCCAGAGACTTCTTATTCTTAATAGAAGGACAGGAAAAAATCAAGGGATTATAGCAACTAGACTACCTAAAATAACACATTTAATAGTTAGAAGAGATCAATATCAAATGAAGATGAATAGTTCAAGAATAAGTGCAATTTAGATGTTGATGCTGATGTAGGAGAAGTTTTCGATAGCCAATCAGACTTTCATCTTAATATGGAAAAACTTGATGCTAGCTTTTAAAAAAAGGTGCCATTTATGCCAACCATTAAGCAGCTTTAGCATCTAGATAAGACAAGGTTACCTTTCTGAAACTAGAGCTAAATCTTCAAGATGAAATACTGAAATATTCAAAAGTTAAGAGCCAAAGGCCTTGTTTATATTACTTGATCTATCCAAATAAATCTTATATTTAATTAGATTTGTAAATATTTAAGAAATTAATTACTCTTTAATACCAATTCAAATAAAATTTTTCTTAAGGGGTTTTGGGGTTTTGGGGTTTTGGGG